AGCCATTTGATTAGAAAAAGAACAAATTAAATATAATTGGGGTTGTAACAGTTAAACCGTGTTACGTAAGAGCTTTGGACTTAAGTCTGAGAGCTTTTTTGGTGAGAGCTTTGCCCAGGTGTGGTTTAGAATAGATATGAGAAATTGTTTATAATAATTAACTTACAATTTGGACATTAGTTTTACATATACTAATAATTATATTCTTTTCTTGGGTCTTACATAAAATTCCTTTGTTTTTTAATTAACCCGATATTAAAGATCATCCTTTTTTGTTTTGTCTTTAAAACAACGACCCAACCCTTAAAATGAAAATCTTAATTAAATATCCGTATTTATCTATCGGTTCCAATACCATTCCATTAGTCGAGATCGGTTCACGATTTCTATCCTGTCACTTAATGATTGATCACGGTGAATATGTTTTTAAGCTTTTTTACAATTCTCACAGATTTTTTTTCTCAACATATGATAAATGATGGGTTTACGTTGGTTCGAGGCACTGGCTGCTTTTCGAAATACAAGCACAATCGTATAATATAATAGTTTCGTGTGTGCGTCTGGTCTAATAGTGACAAGAACTGTTGAACCCTCGAAATGCAGATGTGAATTAATTCATTTTGAGACTTTACGAATTGAAAGGGTTAAGGGATTTATTATAGCTTTACAATTATTATTTTACCAATGGCGTAGTCGATTTCCTTTCCACTTTAACAATTTTCCAAAGATAACAACGCTTTCAAAATTTTAGAATAAAAATAAAAAGGTCTCTGACAATTATAATTAAAAATAAAAATGAGTAATAAGGGTTGTAAATTTTCCATACATATATTTTATTTTAAAATTGTGCCAAGAAATTTATATCGGTGAATCTAACCCTAATGTTTAGTTAGGTAATGGATAATTTAAATTTAAATTTTTAATCATATATAAATCAAGAATTATTCAAACGTATAACAATGGTTTTTTTGTATGTTTGCATGAAAGAAGAGGCAGTTTTTGCAAAATTTTTAGTCCAGTTGTGCCTTCAGGCTACGCTCTTGTTTCAAAGAGTGTTACCCTTTTTTTATTGCTACTTAAAATTTTTACTGCATGTTCAATAAATGGATGTATGCATGGAATAGTTGTGGGAAATATGTCAACAGCCCAGGACCTATCGAAAAAGGCGTCAAATTTACATTTTTTTCGATTCATTTTTTATCGATTGGTAACAGTGCATTTTAATAAATATTCAACCTTCTATAAACCCTTTAAGAATTATCAGAATGGTACCCTGACAACGGTGAAATACAGTAGAATTAGTTTATTATTACTCCGCCTATATTGACCAATCGCTTAATATGAAGTAATTGCAGTGTTTGGTTTTCATATTAAATTTACTCTAGGAAAGTTTGGATATAATGACTCCGTTTAAAATGACATATCGTTTATTACGACTGATTCTCAAGAAATCATATCCGGCTATAGTGACCCAAATGATTAATGATAACATTTTCGCTCATTTTTCTAACCCTTTTTATGTATATTGATATTACAATTCATCGTTCTTTTTCTNATCAAACAAGCACTTGATGCAGCGAAACTATTAAAAAAATACTTTTTATATAATCAAATTGATCCAGCAGTATCTCAAGATATGAGTAAGATGCGTAACAAAATACAATTAAAATATTGGAGCAGCAAAAAACATCAGACGAAGATAACAGGCTATACGCAATGTATGAATAATAATGTTCGTGTGCAAAATGTGTACTATATTAGTAAATGCATATCATTATAGAATAGTAAAATAATATCTTTTATTTCTCTCCGAAAAATGTTCAGTCCGTTAAGTGTCGTTATATAGAGTTTACACTGTATATGTAACTGATAAGTAGTATACGTATCTATATATAAATATCAATTACTTCATAGTTCTTAAACTTAATAAATATGAGACGCCCTATATAGTAACACTGACATTTTTCTCATTAAGATATTAATATTTGTTCACTGTTTGCCACGATAACATAATCTTTAGAAACACGAATTGGGATTCCGAGCGCCTAACATTCTGTCTCATGATAGTAGGTATTTGAGATTTTAATTAATTCGGAATAATTAATTCGGTGAACGAGGCCTCGGTCCCTAACCATATACGTATGACGATCGTTAGGAATAAGTTTTTTAAATCATAACTACAATCTGGACGACCGTGTGTTTTATAATTTCTTTACATCAACAAATAAGAATGTGCATTTGTTTTATTTGTAATTTGTCTTTAATTTCAATTTCTCTATTTCTCTAACTAGATTCAAGTGCAAGTTTTGCATTATAAGTTTCTTCTTTAATTCGAAATTTTATTAATTTTCTTCGGAAAAATCAGCTACAGCGTTAAAAAGCAATGGCTCAAGCTTTTGAAGTGGACGATCAGGTACCACTATAAATTTTCATTGCGATATTCAATATTATATTAGGGAAAACAGTAAAATGGGCGGTTAGATTAGGATCATAAGACTACGGTAGGAAAAGTCAACACAAACGAAGTACTTGTAATGTTTGACGTTTGATATCGTGATTTAAGACTTGAAGGGTTATTAAAGATGGTCTTAGTAACAAAAATATACGTAGACCCGATGTACATTCCAAATAAAAATGGAAAAATTATATTCTACATTATTTTCCTAATATACATATATTTAATAGAAGAATTAAACTCAAACAGGCCTAGTTTGGCTTTGATTCGTCCATTAAAAAGGAAAAAATTTTACAGTAAAGCAAAAATTTTCCTTAATTCGAATTTTTGTCTAACTTGAACATAACTGCTTGAGTTACAGAAATTTTACTTTAGGTACACTATGTTTATATATAGATGGGCATATAACTAACATTTTTTATTTTAAACTGGAATATAATTATGAAAAGTCCCTTGTGATGGTTTTCCTGTGGTCAAATTTAAATTAACCAAATATATAACGCGTTAGATTTATCGGAAAGATTTGTAAGTTCAGTGCATGACATGTTACATCCACATTGTATTATTTTTAATACAACAAAATAATATGGGGGTCTCACGATATATAGGTACTATAGGCATTACATTATTGCTTCTCAAATTTCTAACGCGTAATGTATACAGTTATGCGAACAATAACACAAACCAGTCCCAAAAAAGTTGTATTATTGATCCCTAGTCCTTTATAATAGTTAGTTATAATGAAAGTACTGTATAACGTTACAGATAATCAGGTCTATAATGTACAGTTTGTATCGGAAGGACTTCCCGAACTTAAACAATTGGAACTAAGGGGGAATTTTTTACCTGACTTTAGTGGTTCCTTCCCGACGAGCATCGAAAAGCTTTACATGGTAAGAAGCAATAGAAACAGAAGAAACTTAATTTGATTAGACACAATGAGGAGCGAATATAGGATTTCGTTTAAGAGGGGAAGGGGGGGTTGTTAACTATCTTCTAGAAAATTAATTCTAAACAAAAACTTTGAGTTGTCATCGGTCAAAATTTGCATTTACTAGGTCGTTTTTACGGGCATGGTAGAAACCAGTTCATTGGATCGACCAACAAAATATGTCTCAAAATTTAATTTAATCAAGAGCATCTAACATAACGATTCATTAAATTGCTCAAACATCAAGTGCTGTGGTCGTAAGTCAATGGGGGTAATTGTACCCATTGCTGTCAAACCATTCTCCTCCTGGACACAACAACTTTATCTATTTTCGGATTCAGGAAATGTTTTCCAAGTTAAATTATTATTAATAAAATTTCTATTTCAGGCAGAAAATAGGATTAGCAAAATAATATCAATTGATGTATGCTATTTAACGAATTTGAAGATACTTCATTTAAGAGACAATCAAATAAAAAAACTGAACGGTTTTACTGAACATCTTGTTAATTTGGAGTACTTAAATTTGAGACAGAACAGAATTACGAAGTTCAGGGAATTTCGCAAACTGCAATGCCTTCCAAAATTGGAAACTTTAATCGTTATCGCAAATCCTGTAGCTGGGGAAGGTAATATTTCATAATTATTTTTTTCTGTACTTTCTACGAAATAGATGTTTAAATAATAAAATCTAGAGCAATATCCTTTAAAAATAAATTTCATGTAATTACGATTAGAGAACAAAATGGCCGGGGAAGAACCAGGAGAAGAAATGTTCGGGGAAGACCAAGGACCTACGGATCCTGTCAGGTATGAATATCAAATACATAAATCATCTGGTATTTTTTCTGTTGGTATCGTTATTGTCTTTTTAATTTAAATTTTGCAACAATAAAAGGTATTTTTGGGCTTAACTCCTTATTCTTATGAATACTTCGTATTTCTACTAGATTTTAGTTTTGAATGTTTTCAAAAACAATTATGAGTAGTAGGGAGATGATAAAATTGAAATGGAACTTTTAAAATTTACAAATATTTCGGAATTAGTAAAGGTGGCGACATCTGTAGTTTAGTGGCAGAAGGTCGAGGAATATACTAAAGGATAGAGACGACTGAAGTAGCGAACTGCACCGGATCTGATCGATGCACAAATTCATTCACAGTCAAACCACTAGAGTACAGCGCATAGTAGTTTTTTAAAACTTTTTAATAAAAAAGTAAGTTCCAAAAGTTAAAAATGAAAATACGGAAAATATTTGGAAACAAAAAAATTATATATATATATAAAAAACAAAAGACTAATAGACCAGGAGTTTCTAACAATAAAATTTTAATTGGGAATAATTTGAATGATAGGAACATTAATTAACCAATAGGTACATGTATATATGTAATACATAAGCGAGATTGAATCTTGGCATAACATTAGCATATATTTCCCGTGGTACCAAAAAAGAAAACGGTTTTTAACGAGCCAGAGATTAATTTTAATTGCAAATTAAAAGACCATTTGATACGAGGCGGAATTAATTAATTGGGATCGTGATTTAACAAATGAAAAAGGCGTGTACCAACTGTTATCAATAATCCAATTAAACAGGGTCTTACTCTTATTCAGTGTTTCGTTCGTTGTTCCCTTTTTGTCTATCTATACCGCCCACGATTTAACAAAATGTGGGGAGGTTTGTAATATTTCCAATTAAGTCGTTATCTCCGTTGTTTCTACTCCTTTCACTGGACTAATTAATTTTGTCAAGACTTTTTACAGATAGAAAGATTTATGCATTGACTCCAGACTAATAAATTAGTTGTTGAGTAAAAGGTTTGCTCAAGTAACAAAACAGAGTACGATAAGTTACGCTAAAATAGCTGCTCTCTTTTTACTTTCTTATTTTTGTAAGTAATTCTACTGTATGAAACACTTTGGCACTTAATAGTATCAAATATTAATGTGAAAATTCATCTTCAATTATTAACCACTAGGTATAAATTACCTCAAGTTAATGGGGGAAAAATTGTTTCTATTGTTACATCCGCGCCGGGAATTGAACCCCGGACTTTTGGCTTTATGCACCAATGCTCTGATAACTAAAATTAGCGAATTTTTTCTCATTAACTTGAAGTAATTTATAGTGGTTAAAGATTGAAAATGAATTTTCACATTAATATTTAATTCTACAGTGCTACAATAAAAAGTATATTCCAAAAAGTCAAAATGTAATTCAAAACTATTTAACCAATTACTTGAGATTACGAATATATAATGATGATTTAGAAAATCATTTGTTGATAATAGTATACAGGGCGTTCATGGTTGGGAACGTTACTTTCTTTATTAATTAAACTGCTCAAAAAGTGCTTCTTGTGGGATATGAAATATATAAAATAAAACAATCATTATAAACAACCCCATACGGTGCTTTCACCTTTCCGATCAATCTTCTTGTTACCATTAGGGCAGGGTCGAATTGGTACCCAAAAGTAGCAGGTACATAAACAGATGGGCGAATAGGTTTCCTGGAGAGACGAATTGTCTCCCCCTTCTACTTAAAAGGGGTTGCTACTGAGATGCTATTACACATATTTTTTGAATATATATTAGGAAATAATATAAATATTAAACATGATTGATTAAATGTACTGACTGACCGGTTACCAATTCAATTCTGCCCTATCAAAAATTAAATAAATATTAATGTCACTCACCATAATTACTTTCCCTGTATTAGAATCCCTCTCCTGGTGCTGCTGCCAAATCTGAAAAGAATAAACAAAATGCCTGTAGCTGTTTCAGAAAGAGAAGATGCTTACAGAATCAGAGACGAGAAGTACACTGAAATAATGGCTGAAGATAGTAAGTCTATAGTTAGAACGTTCAAAGTTGGCATAGTTCGCAATAAAACTGTCGCATGTACTTTCTTCTTTCAACTTACTAGCTAGACTAGAGCGGTTGATGACAGAACGCCTATATTTACTGACGACAGACGTTATAGGGAATATCGTAAACATACAAGAGAGATGCCAGGTAGGAATTGCAGCGGACACTAATAAAGAAAAAGGAATAACATTACACCAATTAATGTGTAACAGAAAGAGATGCTAACAAGACTAGAGCAGTTGTATGGAATATCGTAAACATACAAGAGAGATGCCAGGTAGGAATTGCAGCGGACACTAATAAAGAAAAAGAAATAACATTACACCAATTAATGTGTAACAGAAAGAGATGCAGACAAACAGAATTTGAGCATCAGCACTGCCGTGTACATGCGTCACTATCCGGTACCCGACCGGATCCTAAAAAAAGTGACAGATCCGCCGGGTACCGCATGTAAACCGGGTACCCATCCTTCCTACATTGTAAACTACGACTGGTAGATGGGAACAGTAATTTCTACAAAATCAGATTTTGCTTTTAACTACATGAAATACTTAACAAACATTGTTGGTATTGTAAATAACAATCTGCAAGGAATTACAACATTTCACAAAAGACATACGGAATATCTCTGATGTACGGTGTAATTTTACTGCGTATCGACATTGCTACGTATGCAGGTACACCATACGCTGCAAAATTTATTTCGAAAATGCATTTACTTTTATGTTACAGGTTTATCAGAAAGCAGACGTAGAGTGCCGCGGAGTGCGGTGCGCGTTTTTACTTTGAACTTTCAATTTGCTAGCACTTCGCATTACCGTAACTTCTAACACGGTTACCCTAAAATGTCACCGTAAAGCTACGTTAGGTATTTTTATTGCTCGGTAAAATCAGTCAGCTCGCTCGTCGCTGTTCACTGGGAATATACGTAGGTAGATCTACCGGCTCGAAATTGAACCCAAAAATAAAGTAAAGCTATATTTTAATATACGGTAATACGGTACCAATTGGATTATTACCTACTAATTATTGAAATTTTTGGATTGTACAAAATACATAAAAGGTAGCATATAAAGAATTCCAAACAGAATTTTAGAAAGAAAGACATTTGGTGGTGCTTTTTAAGAAAGAAAACTTATTTTGAGTTTAACAAAAAAAATTAAAATTTGACTTAGTTGACTTGTTAAACATAGAGATAAACCTTATCCAACCCCTAGACAAAAATTTTCAGTCTCTCTCTCCAGTCTCTCAGAGTCTTTCTCTCTCTCTCTGAGCGACTCGACTCTCTCGTTCAGAGACTGGATACGAAATGAGAATCTCTCTATGAGCGACTCGAGTCTGTCGTTCAGAGACTGGACAGGAAATGAGAATCTCTCTATGAGCGGCTCGAGTCTCTCGTTCAGAGACTGGATACGAAATGACAATCTGTCTATGAGTGACTCGAGTCTCTCGTTCAGAGACTGGATACGAAATGAGAAACTCTCTATGAGCTACTCGAGTCTCTCGTTCAGAGACTGGATACGAAATGAGAATCTCTCTATGAGCTACTCGAGTCTCTCGCTCAGAGACCGGATACGAAATGAGAATCTCTCTATGAGCGACTCGAGTCTCTCGTTTAGGCTGGATACGAAATGAGAATCTCTCTATGAGCGACTCAAGTCTCTCGTTTAGACTGGATACGAAATGAGAATCTCTCTATGAGCGACTCGAGTCTCTCGTTCAGAGACGTTAAACAGCTTTTTTGACAGTATCTCGACAGTCTCTCTCAGCGACACCAGAGAGACGAAGACTCGAGTCTCGCTTTCAGAGACTCTGATAGACTGAACATTTTCATCTCGGGACGTCACACTAAAACATACAAAATTTTCTATTTTTGAAGAGGTCAATACATATTAATATTGACCTTGTTAATAAAAAGGTAACCAATTGTTATCGAGAGACTTTACTGTTTAATAAACTATCAGTAATTTCGAAGTTGAACATTAGGGGAAACGTATAAATCGACATTACGGAATGCATTAGTGACATTAGATCTATATACATATATGTATATGCCTAGTATATGTAGGTGTTAAAGGTCCGGTAATGGAACAGAGGAGTTGAGAGCAAGCTGTTTGTGAGATATTTACTGGTTGCTATTGGTATGTAATGCATTACAAAAGCACCTGTTATGTCCGACTTAGGTAATGGAACATAAATTCCGACTACACAAAACACCTATTTATCAGATGCAATCGAAAGGTATTAGCATTCAAGGGCTCCTACAAGGTATTAAGCTGATGCCATTTATTGGTAATGGGAAATAATTATAATCAAATTGAAGTAGGTTAAGTTAAATTGATTTCGTAAACTTTGTCAACATTATTAGAGCAAAAGGACTCCCCGCTAGATCCTTATGGAAAATATTGATGTGAAAATTCAATTTTCAATTTTCCATTCATTGCAAACTATACTTCGTCTAGTTTCTCTAGTGATGTGACCTTTAGTTTGACCGGCGCAAAGTAGAAAAGAACAGCACTAGGTCAGAAAAGGAAGGAGACAACTCTTAACCGGTGAGGAGCGTACAATTCGTACAGTACTGCACGGAAAAATAAACCATTTTTTCTACTAAAATTGCATAGCTCGAATGTGCTGTTATTGGTACCAATTACTACTCAGAATATCAATGAGATGTGCATTTTTATTTGAAAACATATTAAAAGCTTCAACGCATGTTTTCGACTCGCACTACTATCCATAATTGAACAAAACTTTTGGCAGGTACTGTACGAAAAAATTTTGTTTAATGAAGAAGAGTCGAGAATATAATGAGCTTTTTTCTCCCTACTTACGATTTTGCCAGCGTGTATCCAAGACATTGGAACGGGCACATCGCTAGAGAAAGTAAACGAAGTATACCTCAGGTTAAATTTTCCCTTATTAACCTAAAGTAGTTTGTAGTGGATGGAAAATTGACAATGAATTTTCACATTAATATTTCATATTAACCACTATTAATAATCAAAAATGTCTTTATAGAAAATAGCCAAATTCTTTAAAACAATGTAACAAATAATATTCAAAAAAACTTTCATTCAAATTAAAACAAAGACGTTTATATTTAAATTTAAAAACAAACATAAAAAATTAAGAAAACACTGACATTTAATAGGGGTTAATATCAAAAATTAATGTGAAAATTCATTTTTAATTTTCAATCCTACTACAAACTACCTCAAGTTAATGAGG